GAAGACGAAGGGGGTGTCGTACTTGAGGAAGACCTCGCCGTTCTTCACCGCCGTCACCGAGCAGGGCCCGCAGCAGAACAGCCCTGCCCCCCCACCAGTACGGACCAGTACGGACCAGTACGGACCAGTTCTCACCCGTACCGACCCACGCAGACCAGCATGGACCGATACCGACTGGTATGGACCCGTATGGAGCCGTGTGCGCTGGTGCCAACCAGTATGGACCAGTACGGACCAGTATTGACCCATACAGACTGGTGCGGACCAGTACAGACCAGCACAGACTGGTACGGACCAGCATGGACCAGTACTGACCCGTACAGAGTGGTAGAGACCACTATGGACCAGTATGTATCAGTACAGTCTGATATGGACCAACATGGACCAGTATGGACCAGCATGGACCAGTACGGACCAGCACAGACTGGTACGGACCAGCATGGACCAGTACTGACCCGTACAGACTGCTAGAGAGTGGTATGGCCCAGTATGGACCAGTACAGTCTGGTATGGACCAACATGGATCAGTACGGACCAGCACAGACTGGTACGGACCAGCATGGATCAGTACTGACCCATACAGACTGGTAGAGACCAGTATGGACCAGTAAGGACCAGTACAGTCTGGTATGGACCGACATGGACCAGTACGGACCAGCACAGACTGGTACGGACCAGCATGGACCAGCATGGACCCGTACAGACTGGTAGAGACCACTATGGCCCAGTATGGACCAGCACAGACAGGTATGGACCAGCATGGACCAGTACGGACTGGTTTGGACCAGTATAGACCAGTACAGATGAGCACAGACTGGTACCGACTGGCATGGACCAGTATGGACCAGTAAAGACTGGTACGGCCCCATCTGGCCACCTTATAGCCCAGTATGGCCCGCTATGGCCCCATATGGCCCAATACCTCCCAGTATGGCCCAGTAGAGCCAGTATGGCCCAGTAGAGCCAGTATGGCCCGTTACGGACCAGTATGGCCTTCTTATGGCCCAGTACAGCCCAGTATGGCCCAGTACAACCAGTACAGGCCATTACAGACCAGCATGGCCCAATCTAGCCCCCTTATGGCCCAATCCAGCCCCATCCGGCCCAGTATGGCCCAGTCCGGCCCCCGTACCGCTGCTGGTCTCCTGGGGGGTGGCGTCGAGGACCTGCCACCCGTCGTAGCCCTTGGGGAGGTCGGGCCGCTTCATCCAACAGTCGTTCCACACGTGGAAGTTCCTGCCCGGCAACAGCACGAACCAGTAGGAACCAGTATAAACCAGTCTGGACCAGCCTAAAGCCCCTATGGCCCACTACGGACCAGTATAAACCACTGCGGCCCAGTATGGGCTGGGATAAAGCCTCTATGGTCCGTTATGGACCACTATAAACCAGTACCAACGGGTACGCAGTGGTATAAAACCCCTATGGCCCATTATGGACCAGTATAAACCAGTAGAGATGAATATAGACTGATATTAAGCCCATATGATCCACTATGCACCAATATAAACCAGTAGAGACCAATATGGACTGGTATAAGACACCTATGGTCCCCTATAGACCAGCATGGACCAGTGTGGACTGGTATAAAACCCCTTTGGTCCCCTATAGACCAGTATGGACCAGTAGGAACCAGTATGGACTGGTATAAAACCTCTTTGGTCCACTGGACCAATATAAACCAGAATAGGCCAGTATAGGCTGGTATAAAAAAGCATATGATACCCTATAGACCAGTATGAACCAGTAAGGACCAGTAAGGACTGGGATAAAGAACCCTGTGCTCCTCTATAGACCAGTATAAACCAGTATGGTTCAACATGAACCAGTACAGCCCAGTATAAACCAGTACAGCCCAGGATGAGCTGCCGGCCCCCTACGTCAGCTCGTCCCGCTCCCACCGCCCCGATCCATCTCCCGGTGCCCCCCAGGCCCCCTCCCAGTATAAACCAGTATAAACCAGTACCAGACGGAGTCGGTGTTGAGGCGCTCCAGGGGCCGCATGTTCTCGTCGAAGTAGATGTCGGTGGTGAGCGACACGTCCGTGTCGTGGGCCGAGTTGTAGTTGGTGACGGTGCGGGTGGGCAGCCCCAGGCACCGGAGCACTGCGGGGGCGACACGCGACAACACGCCATAACACGGGACAGCGCGGGGTGTCACCGAGGCGCCCGGGGACACGGGGAGGACACGGGGAGTTGTCCCAGGGGTGGCCGGGCCCAGTACGGGGGTGAGGAGGGTGGGAGATGGGATAACACGGGATAACACGGGTTAACATGAGATGTCACGGGTTAACATGGGATGTCACGGGATAACATCGATGGTCCTGGGGACACCAGGAGGACATGGGGAGTCATCCTGGAGGTGGCTGGGCCCAGCACGGGGGTGAAGAAGGTGTGACACGGGATAACACGGGATAACATGAGATGTCATGGGATAACATGGGATGTCACGGAGGACAGTGAGGGTCCCAGGGATGCCAGGAGGACACGTGGAGCTGTCCTGGAGGTGGCTGGGCCTAGCACGGGGGTCAGGAAGGTGCGACACGGGATAACACGGGATAACATGAGATGTCATGGGATAACATGGGATGTCACGGGATGACATTGAGGGTCCTGGGGACACCAGGAGGACATGGGGAGTCATCCTGGGGGTGGCTGGGCCCAGCACGGGGGTGAGAAAGGCGTGACATGGGATAACACGGGATGTCATGGGATAACACGGAACAACATAGGATGTTGCCAAGGGGCCAGGGGGCACCGGGAGGATGTGGGGAGTCATCACGGGGGGCGAGGACTGGGCCCAGCACTGCAGCGGGGGGAGGCGCGACACGCAAAAACACGCAATAACAGACAAAACCACGTGCTAACACACGACAACACGTGACAACATGCCAGAACATGTGAAAACACGCCAAACCGCCCAAGAACAAGCAATAACACATGCCAACGCGAAGACACGCAATAACGGTCAAAAAACACGCAGTAACGGGCCAAACCAGGCAACAACGCGGGATAACAAGCAATAACACGCGATAAGATGCAAAAACACATGAAAACACGCAAGCACGCGTGAGGACAAGCTGTAACACGTGACGTGCGAAAACACGGGGAAAACAGGCAAAACCACGCGATGACAGGCAAAAACAGGCAAAAGCGCGCAACAACACATGATGACACAGGACAACACGCAACAACACGCAACAACACGCAACAACACGCGACATGGGAGAGCATAACGAGGCACCAGGGCTCCCTCTAGGAGCTCTTGAGGCCCTTCTGGCCCTTCTCCCACCATAAACGAGGCCAACCCAGTAGAAACCAGTATAAAATGGTCACAACCAGTAGAAACCAGTAAGAACCAGTATGACCCAGTGGGGGCTCACCCGTGGTCATGACGCCGGCGAAGACCCAGCACTGGCCGTAGCGCACGGGGGCGCCGGAGCTGTGGTAGGCGCGCAGGATGTCCACGGAGCCGGCCCAGGCCGAGGGGTTGGTGCCCTGGGCGTAGTCGCCCGTCCAGTTGCCCACCAGCACCCCGTTGTCGTCCAGCGAGTTCACCTGCGCCGGGGCACCCCG